TTCCAAGTAGCTGGAACTACAGGCGCGTGCTACCACGCCCAGCTAATTTTTTTTTATTTATTGTAGAGATGAGGTCTCGCCAAGTTGGCCAGGCAAGTCTTGAACACACAGGCTCAGGCAATCCACTCATCTCGGCCTCCCAAAGCACGGGTTTACAGGCTGAGCCAATGAGCCCAACAATTTTTTTTTTTTTTTTTTTGAGTCGGAGTCTCACTCCGTCGCCCAGGCTGGAGTGCAGTGGCATGCTCACGGTCACTGCAGCTTCGACCTGCTGGGCGCAGGCGATCCTTCCAAGTAGCCGGAACTACCGGCACATGCTACAATGCCTGGCTAATTTTTTTATTTATTGTAGAGATGAGGTGTTGCCAAGTTGCTCAGGTGGGTCTCGAACCCTCAAGCTCAGTTAATCCACTTGCCTCAGTCTCCTAAAGTGCTGGGACTACAGGCATGAGCCACCTCATCGGGCTCATTGCTAATATCTAACGCTCAGGTGGTCTCATCATGTCCTCAGGGTCCCCTTCCCTCTCTGCCATCCCCTCCCTCATGGGCTTGGTTTCTGCTGCCACATCCTGCTTTCCAGACCTGAAGGGCCAACCTTGACTTTGGGTCTCCCTGATTATAAATTTAGAGCTGAGCCCATAGCACCAGATGGGGGAAGAGAGCCTTCATCATTGAAGCCTTTTTATTATAGTTTAGACCAGGTGCGGCAGCTCATGCCTGTAATCCCAGCACTTTGGGAGGCCAAGATGGGAGAATCACTTGACACCAGGAGTTCAAGAGTAGCCCAGGCAACATGACAAGACCTCCTCTCAACAAAAAATTTAAAAATTAGCCTGGTGGGGTGGTGTGTGCCTCTGGCCTCAGCTACTTGGGAGACTGAGGAAGGAGGATCCCCTGGGTCCAGCAAATGAGCCTGCAGAGAGCTGTGATTGTGCCACTGCAGTCCTGCCTAGGAGACAGAGTGAAAAAAAAAAATTATATTTAAAATAAAAATGTGGGTCGGGCTCGGTGGTTCAGCCTGTAATTCCAGTACTTTGGGAGGTCAAGGTGAGTGGATTGCCTGAGCCCACAGGTTCGAGACCAGCCCAGGCAACTTGGCGAGA